ACTTGTTATTACATTTCATGTGAAGTATCAGAGAGGATTATGGGAAATAGGATAAGCACCTACTGTAGGTATCTATTTCCCATAGAAGCCATTAGGGCAAGTTTATTAGCCCATCGTGGTTGTAAATAATGAATTCAATTCAATATTTGGGGTTACCTGGGGTTTAAATTGGTACTGATCTTAGTCTAATGTTTCCAATTTCAGGGATTGAAACACATTACTGTAGGCCTTTGCCAGCATGCAAAATGTTAATCTTGATAGATTACATTAATCTTTATAGAGAGCACTTTTTGCTCCACTTATATTTCAGGATCTTAACTCCTCAACATAAGGATGCTTTAGCTCTTTATATTGAGAACACTGCACATTTATTTTAATTGGATAACCGAGCTTTTCTGCTTACTGAGCTGTCTGTCTGACATTTGGAAAATGCAGCTTTTTTTCCCCCAACATAACCTAACTGTTCATTTTTATAAGGTCTGTCATCCAAAATGCAGAACCTAATCCTTAATTAGTTGTCATATTTGTTTAGATGTTATAGATCATCCATTGGACTGAACTGTTTGGTTTACCATCCTTTCATAATGTCCGTTAAATGATTATTTTTGCATTCACTTATGTTTTATTTAACAGTTTTCCTATGTCCTGAACTCCTGACTTACAGGCCTTTTGCTAAAGAATGGAGTCATTAAATTGGTTAGGCGTGCAGGCTGCCCAGGCAACGCCTGCGTAAATCACAGCTAGCAGAAAGCAAACTAAACCAAGCCATAAGCAGCGCTGAGCAGCAGACTGGAGTGCTGTAAAGTGCCTTAAACACAATGAGCTTTTCTCCAGTTTGGATTTTCAACTGTAAATCTCTTTTGGAATCAGGAACCTACAACAAGCTAACCTGTCTCATGGGAAAGAGAAAGGACACTTCAGTGTCAGCCGATCCCTGTTAAGCAAGCGATGGGGTCATGGAGGCATGTTTTTTTCAATCTAATGGGGAACAGGGACTGGAATTCAGGGCAGAGTCCCAATCAACAGACTAGTGAAGAAGTGTTGCTCAGTGACTAATTAGCCAAGTAAAATGGAAGGTCTTTAACAGAACTGAGAATGGCTTGACCCAATATACCCATGGCAGCTACTGACGGAAAAAACCCCCACCATTCCTGTATTACATTTAGCCAAGAGATTTTTAAAACCGTCTCCCACATATATTTGTGAGTGCTTTGAACACAGGTTCAGTGGGCATGGCAATCACCTCTACCTCGCCTCCCACCCAGAACTCTTATTCTTAGTACCCCTACCTAACTGAGTACTGCAAACCACAATAAACCAGTATCGCCTTCCTTGAGCATCCTGGTAAGGCACTGGGTAGGAATCTGAAAAGTTTGGCAGCACCTACTAGAGAGCTGAACAACAGCTGAACAGGAGCTCCTGGCCCTGGATGCTGTCTGACTGAACTACTAAAATGACATTGATGTTTCCAGGTCCCTTCATGGATATAATTCAAAGTATCTGCTCTTCGCGAATGGGTAATCCGCGTGTTTCATGGCTTTGCTGCATAGCAGGAGTTGTACTCTGGCCAACTAAAGTGAGTGGTGAAATGCTCAGGTAGTCACATCCCAGTTTCAACAACACTGCCGTTGCATTAGATTCATCCTTTGTTTGTGTGGATATACGAAACATACCCACATAAACACAAACCAGCATGAAATAAAAACCTTTCTTTTCCAAGCAAGAGAATAAAGACCAGCTCTTGGATCTAGAAGTACTTTTAATCTTTTTCCTCCCTGTGCTAATCTCAGTCTTGCCTCATTAAGAGAAAAAGATTCAAGTTGATGATAACCTGGCATAGGCTACCTAGATTTTTTTCTGATCCTAGTCTGTGTCCATTGTGCTTTTTGTGAAGTGCTGCAAGGCAATTATTGGTATGCAGAGCACTAGGGAAGTGCTGGAGAGGCATAAAAGCTGCTGGAGAACAATTTCCCTTTCAGACAAAAAGCAAACATCTCCGTTGCTGTAGGAATCAAGTTACGTGTTGTAAGGGCTCAAGTTCCAGTCTGGAAATACGTGGCATAAAGCTCATGTTTTAGTGAGAGGTGAAGCATATGCCCTTTAGGAATAAATGAAGCATTGTGATAATCTTTTATAATACTGGTAATTTCATAACTTCTTCAAAGACCTCCCCAAATTATTGTTTCCCTTCTGATCTCCCACTCAAATCTTCTCTTCCCATTGAAATAAGGTTGCTTTTTTTTCTTCTTTTTTCTTCTCTCCCCTCCACCTACAAAAATGATGATATTTCAGCTCTACTTCAGGGAGGAAATCGTTTGCACAGCCTTTTTTCCTCACGCATCTGTACTGTAAAACTGAAAAAAAAAAATGTGGCAATAGGAACATGTCAAACTTGCAAAAAAAAAAATCACTTGAGGTAAGAAATGGCAATACGGCACAACAGCAATTCAAACTGAAGACAAAGTTCCCAGAAAGTTAAAGAAAATGAAATACTAGTTAAAAAACTTAACATATTACCCAAAAAGGAAACATGATGCCCTTAAAGATGATAAAAGACAGAGCAGTACAGGACATGGTATACAGGGACAGATTTCCTAAAAAGATTTAATTTCACGTTTGCTGGACAATTAAAGCTGTATTAGAACTTTAAATAATTCGGAAAAAATACCCTGAAAAGCTTACTGCATTCTCCTTTTTTTTTTTCTTTTGGTTACACATGCTTTGCTTATTCTCTGGCCAGTCGTTCACGAAATACAAAGTTTTTATCAATTTAGCATGTGTTAGCTACTTGGCCAAGAAAAGAAACACTACTGCATTAAATCATAAATGAAGATACCAGACAACAGGCAGATGAATCCAACCGCATGAAAATTATGTGGTGTTTCAGGTTTTGTGCGTGTGTGTATATCCCACTCAGGTTTATCTATTCACATGCTTCTCACCTTCCTTCAGTCCAAATCTTACTCCGTATTACTACCTTTGTCATTTTATCCAGCCACCAAAGGAAACACTGTCAGTACCTCCCTCATGCATGGTGTGGAGGAGAGTACACTTGAACATTTAGTGCTCATATTTCATACAAAGATATAAAGTAAGCATAACATAATACCTCCCCACCATTCCTGGCAAACACGAGGATTCCTTCTCTTTACCTTCCCAGAAGGAACCAAGCACTTTTTAGAGTAAAGCTTGCTGCTAAACTGCAAAACATGCAATATTTAATCCCTTAACTTTATGTCTTCTCTTCCTCTGCTAAATTACAGCATAACAGGAACCCAGGCAGAAGAGTCACATAATTCTGCTGGCATTCCTGTGATGTGATTAATGGCACATCAAACTCATCAGCCTCATCATGACCTGTTGGACTGACGGGTAAGTGCAGACCTACAAGTACGCAGTTGTCTTTCCTGTGCCTTGGATGACAAACCTGGGAGTGACAAGAAGGAGCCTTCCAAGAACAGTTATTTTTCCTTCCTCCCTTGTACTTGAAGGTGCACAGAAATAGCAGCTGTCCGTAAAAAAGACAGCGGAACAGAAGGCTAACTCCCATCCGTCGCTGCGAGAAGGGGTGCAGGGCCCAGCTGCGAGCAGTGGGCCCACACTCACCCGTAGCCAGCCCGCTCCCCGAGCGGCACGTGGCTGAGCAACTACAGGCACATTTCATCTCAGTGGCATTCTTGCGTTCCTCTTAGATGAAATGTCCTGGTTAAGTGCAGTCACTTTGGAAGCTGCCTTTTTTCCTTCCTACGAACAAAACCCAATTCTTCCCCAAGTATTGTGCAGCATTGCCTGAAAATGACATCTGATACTGGATTAACCATGCCTTTTCGGGAAGCAAACCTTCAACCCAGTCCCGTGCTGAATCTCATCGCTCTGGCCTCCGGCTGGAAAGCAGCAGCAGCCCAGCGAGGGCGAGCTGGTGAGGTTATTGCCCCCCTCCCATGCCCAGGCAGACCCCCGGCCGCCCCAGCCTGCACGCCCCGGCACGCAGGGCAGGTGCGAACCTCGCCGAGCTCCTCTGCCCAGCCAGGCTGCCAGACACCGCTTCCAGGCAGTGAAAAACGCTGTGAACCCTGTCAATAGTACATCTGTTTGTAAGTACATCGCGTACGGTATAGATGGTGCAACTGTGGATACCTCTTAGACCAACACAGTAAAAAAGAAAAGCAAAATGACTTTGAACACCAATGTATTTTCACCTTTTCAGACTAAGCTTTTATTTTGATATTACAAACCAGTTTTCTTTATTCACAAATCACGGTTGTGATATAAACACTAATTTCTAAAGACAGATATACACATTTTCTGGGTTTGTAGGGTGTTTTTTTAAATCTGTTTAGAAGTCACTATATTCCACATATGGTAGTAATAATTTTTTTCATAAGTCATATTATCAGTAGTTATTTATATAAGTGAAAACATTCCCAATATATATTGTAAAAAAATTTCAAATGCTTTTCTTACATAACTATTTCAGACATACATTTTAAAATGATTACTAGGAGTACTGCAGAGGCTTTATAAACAAAATATTTTCTAATATGGGCTGCACTCTCAACCTTTCCAGATTATTTTAATAGACTAAAACGCCATATAATCATTTGGAGAGTGGGAGTTGTAAAGCCATCTCATGAAAATTAAAATTGCAAATAAATTCTTTTATTCCCCACGTTAGACATTTTGTGTGTGCAATTCCAAAAAAGATGTATCATCCACACTTCGAATTGGAAGCCTAACATTTGGTAAACATTTTTCAAGTTGCTTTTATCGTGGTGTTTAAATGATTTTTATTTTTTTTTAAATAGGAGGCTTGGTTCGTATATCTTATATAATAAATGTGGGGATTGAACTCTTAATAAATTTCCGTTCATTCCCTCACCAGTATGAATATATGTTACTGCCCCATTTTTCACTGATTAGTACAGTCTCTTCCTGTCTCTGTTTCAATTTTAAAGATAATTTACTTTTCGTTCTTAGATATAAATGCTACAGAAACTTTG